AAAAAAAAAAAAAGAAAAAAAAAAGGGGGGGTGGACAGTTCAGAGAAGAGTTGGACATAGGCTGAAATATATTTAACATGGCCTGCAACAGCCCAAATGGAAAAGAGGTACTGTTAATGGAATTGGGCTACATGACTAGTGTTCATTTTACTAGTGTTCAAATTACTTAGGACATTTTGATGGTCAGATGGGTAGTGCTCATTGAAGATCTATTCTGAATCAGGAATAAACGAAAACAGGAATTGTATATATTAAGAACTTATCAACACAACATTTGGCTGCCTAAAAGCTTCATCAGATATCACTTGATGAGTGGGCTGAGTAAGGAGAACAAATGATCATATAGAGATGAGTTTGTGAATGGCTTGATCAACAATCTTCAGAAGCCAGTATTTGATAGCCAAGGATGTTTATAGATTGAGCAAAGAAAGGTATAATTAATGGAATAATATTCTGGAGAATACTGGAGAGCATGTATCTTTTGAATTGCAGAAGAACTGATTTTAAAGATGATTAAAGGAAAAGATTTAAGCAATTCCAGAATTAAACAAAATGATGTCTATTATTTACTGTGCCTGGTGCCAGATCAGACTTATACAAATAAAATTATTTGTCCAATTCACAGAGTCAATATGTGATAGGGCCAGTATTCAAATTATTATACCTATCTATTAAATCCATATTCCTCTCTAATATTATTTTCAAGTTGAAGGAAATTATAACCAAGAACTTATATTTTTTCCCTTGTGACCATAAGGAAAAATATTTTTCTGGGATAAGATAGATATTAGAAATGATAAATTTTGAAATGACTGATAATTTTTAAAGTATCTGCAATGGAAAAAAAAATTAAATGTTTTAAAAAAAAGAAGGATGGGAGGAGGGATAAAGACTCCAGTACCACCTATATCCTGGTATTCACTTCATTCATTGCAAAGTAGAGTTGAGATTGGCTATGGATTAAAACTTCATGAATTCTAATAAAAACTAAAGAATAGAAAGGAGTAATCATGCATATGGTAGGTCAAACATGAAAAAGCTGAAACAAGATTAGAGTTTATAGCCACACTCTACCACTGATCAGGAAACCCTCTGAATCTAACATAAAGAAAATTCTCTAATTGCCAAATTTTTTAAACAAAATCCAAATAGTCCATGGCCAGCAGACCAAAAGTTGAAACCTCTGGGCTAATAATATGTAAGATCTGTTTTCAAAAGAAGTCACCTCCTCAGTGAAGGGGGCTGAGGCGATGTCTCTTTCTTGTCTTGGTGGATGTGTTTAATGTTACTATTGCTTTCCTAGAATATATGTAACTACTGTAATTTCAACAGTGTTGTTTGTGTATTTTGGTATTGTAAAATTGTACTTATTCTTTTAATCCCATCCCTTGGGTTGTGGGTCCCCTGAGTTATCCTACAGCAGCGTGAACCTGAAGAGCTGGAATTAGGTAGTATTCTCAACTGGGAGGGGCTGGCGTTTTCAGTGGTTCAGATTGCACTTCCCTTTGTAAGTAAGTGGTAAAGTAATGACATTCCTTAAAAATAAAACAGCCCCTATGTTTAGAGGGCGGTAAAGTGATTGTAGAGGAATTCCGTGACAAGGGAAGAAGGCTGCTGGAAAAACAGATCAAATGCACAGTCTCCTGGGATGATGGCAAGAGACTTAGAGCTACATTAAGACTGAACCCAGATACAAGTTTGGAACAACGGCAAATAAAACTAGTTTCCTTGCGCGAACAGAAAGTTTAATTATTCTTGCTGACATCCTTCAGATACATATACCTAGAGAGAAAACCAGAGCAGGTGAGCGAAGTGAAGTGACAAGGAAACGGAACGTGAGCCATTTCACAAAGGAATAAAGGAAGTCATGAAATTTAAAGACAGATGGCTGTCAGTGTCCAGATAGGAAAGTGCCTTCCCACCCAGGGGGTTACAGATCCAGATGGCTGTACAACACAAACACAGTTCCACTCATGATCAGAGGGAACAACCTGGGATTCAGACTCAGCAACGGTGCCAACATGAATCTACCTCGTGCCAGAGTCTGAGTAGCCTAGTCTAGCACCCAACACGGTTAAGACTGGTCAGGGGCTCCCATGAATGAACATCGAAGAAGGGATTTAGGAGAGGGGCTATAAAAATAAATCGGACTAAGCCCCAAATATAACTGAATGATGACTGGGGATAACTATTTACTAGTACTTTTATGATTTCTTGTAACTCTGTAACTTCCCTGATGTTTGTTAATACTGTTAATTTCTGTATTTCCTGTACTTAACTAGTAGTAAAAACTGTTTAAATATTAATGTGGTATGTGTGCTTATTTCTGGGAAAGCTGGGCAACTACTGTTAGGTGGTCTGCAGTGAGCATGGGACCACTGAGTGGAGTAACGAATTCAAGTGGGATAGATTCCAACATATGTAGAGGATATATTGTCTAGACTACCCTAAATCCTAAAATTATAAATACTGTCACTGGCACTAGCAGTTGGCTTTCTCTCTCTCTCTCTCTCTCTCTCTCTCTCTCTCTCTCTTTCTCTCTTCTTTTTCGA